GCGAGACCGATCGGACTTCTGCAAAGAAAACATGCAAAGGCAAAACACACTACAATCACTCGACAACGGAATGAGACGAATCATTTCTTCAAAACTATAAAGCGTAGACCACAGGAACGTGAAATTAAACACCTGCCGCAAGTTTAAAAAAATCACGTTACGATCATCACCCAACATTATTCATTAAAAATATTATTGCCTGCCAACTGGCGATCACACCTCATTACAAGCACGGTTCAGATAATTAACAAAGTGAATGAATGTTTTATACAAGGCTCGACACTACTCTTTTTTCAGTGGCCCGATCGGGCCACCAAATCATTGATTTTCAATTTTGGGTGGCCCGAAAATGAAAATCTGGTGGCCCGAAAAAAACAAAGCAAAAACATTATAATCTTTATTTCAATTCGTATTGTATATTATTGAAATTGGGCCGTCTGATGCACCTTTCACAAGTCTTTTAAAAAAACCCCACAAAATGGCAACACTGACATTGATGATTGAGCATACATTTGAATTATCCATTCCACGGCATCAAATTTTCACCAGAATCTTGCATACCATTTTTCTACTTTCACTCATTATTTATCTAAACACGCGCGTGCACATGCTATCGATCAGTTCAGACGTTCAGAAGATCAAAGTCACAGAGCATGCAAATATTAAACAAGTAACTGTAATAAACAAAACAACACATTGGCTTTTTCATGTTAAATAAAACATATACATTTATCTCATGAAAGTTCAAATGTCTGGCAGGCTTTGAAACTGTAAAAATAAAATATTGCAGATTTAATAAGGTAAAGTTAGAACCATAATTATTCAAGCAAAGTAGTCTGGGTACGCATGCATTTAAAAAGAAAAAGCAGCCATGTCTAAGCGACTAAGTTCAATATTTTCGTTGCGTAAAGAGTCAGAGAAAATGCATAAATAATAACTTACAAAGACTAATATTACACTTCGGATTAAAATACTGATCATCTTCATGGAATATTCAGTATTCTACGCCGAACTTTCGAACGGCTGGCAGTTTCGCTTCGGATCCGAAACAGTGAGCACCAGTGCAGCTAGCTAGCAATCAGGGTGACCAGACGTCCCGTATTTTGCCCATGTGTCCGGTCCCGTACCGACCCTTCCGCGACGCATGTGTGTCCCGTATTTTTAACATTTGTGAACAACAATACATCAAAAAAGGAAGAAATTTCATCATTTTTTTATTTTGACAATTGTTTGCCTTCGAAACTCTCATCGCTCGCGTTAATTTTACATACGGCCTCCACAGTACACTGCCAGACAGGCGTATTGTCTAGACGCATTTGTCTGGTTCGCTTGATACACATGTAATCATATGTATGCTGGCGCTTGCAAATATGTGCTATGCCTCGCGCCGCTCAGATTTGACCTTCTGGCGCAGACTGGTTTGCGGCCGAACTGTTTCGCGCAGAGCGTGTACATTGTCTAGCAGAGTGTGAGGCCGGATACCAGTCTAACACAATAACGTGGCTTGTTTGCAGCCCGCAGTAGACGGATAAACCGTGCGCTCGTGTATGCCCGCGCGTAGAATGCTGACGTGCGTACGCTGTGCCTCGCCTCGCCACGAATTGCTCGCTTACTTGAATGAGATTAGCATGAAGAAACAATTATTTTATGCACATAGACACTTTGAAATTTTAGTGGCTTGGATCGCGCCACCAAATTTTAACTTTTGGAAATTTTGGTGCCCGACATCATGTTTTGGTGGCCCCGGGCCACCCGGCCACCGCTAGTGTCGAGGCCTTGTGTTTTATATATGATCGTATACTGTATACGCGGTATATTTCACGGTTGTTTAATTTTTTGCGATTTTCGCGAAAGGCGTCCCTGACCACGAAAATATCAACACGCGAAATACTTCACACCGAATAAATGCCAAATATCATAATTTCACCGACCGTGAAATTACCCACTCGCGAAATTGTGCGTCAAGTCTGAATTCGCACAAATATCTGTTTGCGAAAATGTGGCGTATAACAGTACTTTGATAGACCAGGAGTTATATTGTATCATGACATACATGTATGATGCAGGCAGTGCAGCGACGTTCCCTATCTGCTTCAGGCTGGCAGAAAACCTCCGACTCCCTTGTGATTGCTGAACTGCCGTAGTTCATCAAACATCAACTTCTCTAGATGCTCAT